ATATGATAGGTGGAACCAAGAGAATAGTATGGTGATGTCATGGCTCTTGGTTTCCATGCTGCCACAGGTAAGGAAGACTTTTATGTGGGCTGAAACTGCTTGTGAGATATGRGAACWARCRAASTCCACCTATTCAGAGCAGAGACACTATGCCAAGATATATCAACTGCAAGCTGAATCCTCTACTCGCAAGCAGGGGGAGAGGATTCTCTCGATGTACTATTCTGATTTGACATCGATATGAAAAGAACTTGATCACTACCAGAATGTGAATTGGAAGTGTGATGAAGATGCAAAGGCATATAAGTCACTTGTATCTTAGCAACGGGTCTTTGCCTTCCTCCTACGGCTGAATCCTTCATATGAATCCATCAGGGTGCAGATCTTGGGTAGTAAAGACTTGCCAACAATTCAAGAGGTGTATGCCTTAGTGCAATCAGAAGAGAGTAGAAGAAGTGTGATGAATTGTGTAGAGGGGGAGTCAGTTGCCCTAGCTGTCCGGGGAAATTCAGATACAAATGTCGGAGGTGCTTTTAAGAAATGTGACTCTCAGAAGAGAACAGATGATAAGAGTAAACTTTGGTGCACTCACTGCCAGAAGACACGACACACGAGAGATACATGTTGGGATCTCCATGGAAAACCTAAATTGGCATATGATTTGGGTAAGAAGTCAACACCTGATCAGGGCAAGAAACCAAGCCAGTAGAATAAGAAAAAGTATAACTCAGCTAATATGGCATCAAAAGAGACTAGTCCATTGGTAACTCGGGAGAAGCATCCCAGTTCGAACCCTAAGGAAGAAATTATCAACTCCTTTTGTGACCATTTGGAATTGTATGGTAGGACTCTCCGCCAGATGGATTCTAGTCCTACTCCCTCTACCTCTTTCACGTCTACATCAGGTAACACTGCCACTGCCTTCCATGTGTCATCTCATACCACTGATTCTCCTTGGGTTATTGACTCTGGAGCCTCAAACCACATGACCGGTAAGTCAAATTTATTTCAGACATATAACCTTCTCTCTGGGAGAGATAAGGTGAGACTAGCTGATGGTTCTTTCTCTACCATAGCTGGCCGAAGTACCATACCTCTCCCGCTTGGCCTTACCTTTCCTAATGTACTGCATGTTCCGAAATTACCTATTAATTTGTTGTCCATTAGTAGTATAACTCACTCCTTGAACTGTTCAGTCACTTTTTTTCCGTCTTCATGTGTGTTTCAGGATTTGGCCTCAGGGAAGATGATTGGTAGAGGAAGCATGGCAGATGGTCTCTACGTGTTGGAGAATAAAGTTGGTCTTGTGGCTATAGAGTCCATGAGTTTGTCAAGTGAGAGTCAAGCCTATTTATGGCATAGTCGTCTTGGTCATCTTTCTTTTGAGTCATTAAAAGTTATGTTCCCAAAGTTGTTTAAGTCCTTGTCAGTGAGTCAGTTACAGTATCAGACATGTCAATTGAGTAAACATTATAGAAGTTCTTTACCTTTGAGAAATAAAATATCTGAATTTCCATTTCATATTGTTTATTCTGATGTTTGGGGCCCTGTTACTCTACCCACTGAGGCTGGATATAAGTACTTCATTACCTTGATTGATGATTACTCTAGATACACTTGGATTTACCCTAGGCGACCTAAAGATGAAGTGCCAAAAATTGTGTAAGACTTTCAACGCATGGTGTTCACTCAATTCCAAACTGAAATCCATATCTTCCAGTCGGACAATGCGAAGGAATACTTCCATAGTGACCTCACGGAGTTTTTTGCTTCGAGTGGGTCACTTCAGCGAAGCTCTTGTGCTAAGACACCCCAACAAAACGGTGTTGCTGAACGAAAGAACCGTCACCTTCTCGAAGTAGCTCGTGGCTTATGTGCCAAAATGTTTTTGGATGGATGCAGTTTTGTGTGCTACATACATTATCAACCGTATGCCATCTCAGTTACTAGAGTATAAGGCCCCACATCAGCTTCTATTTCCTACAGCTCCGTTGTCCACCATTCCGATGCGTGTTTTTGGGTGTCGTTGCTTTGTCCATGTAGAGAAGATGGGCCAAATGGCCCATAGGCTGTTACTTTATATTATCTTTATGTTTTTCTCTGTAATGGGCCTTATTTTGGGACCATACTCTTCTATGTTCCTTTTTTGTGATTTCTTGTCCAACTAAGGACCTCTCTTGTAATTACTAAAAGATTAACTTAATAAAAGAGTATTAGTGTGTTAGAGGGAGGATTAGTTCGAACTCCTCATCCTCTAACTCTCCTTGGCATAGCTCTCTCTCTCTCTCTCCTTCTCTAATCTTCTCTTGTTAGTTTTTCTGGTTTCTTGCATAGTCCCATACTTCTAGGATTGTTTTTCAACTTGGTATCAGAGCGGGACTGAGCCTGGCGTGGCTCTCATGTGGTTG